CTTCTGGGAAAATTGGCCCCAATGTGATTGTGTGTGTGTTTCTCTCCATGATAGACTGGCATCCCATTTAGTGTGTATCCCACATCATGCCTGTTGTTTGCCAGGATAGGTTGTGGATCTCCTGCGACCCTCTATCGGATAAAATGCTTTAGAAAATCTGGCATTGCTACGCTTGGTCATAGTTTTTCCCCTTCCAGTGCTGGGAAGTCTCTTAGAACATACTCACAATCACACTTGGAGTCTATAGTCTTAAGAATCTTTAGTCTTATGCCAGAGGAAACAATTAATCAAGTGGGGTAGCCTTGATTGTATCGAGGTACAGTACAGTATCGTCACCTTGCAAGTCAGAAGTTAACACTAAAAATTCACATTAATAATCTAATGCTGGGCAGGGGAGGTAGCGGTAAATGGAGAATAAATAGTAGCTCATCTCCATTGCAATACATCAAATACAATGGCAAACTTGCATGAAAACCTCAGAATCTGAAATAAACTACACTTTCATGACACTGCTTTTTGGCTGCATGAGTGAGCACATCCTGTGAAGAAAAGAGTCCCAAAATGAATAAAACCTGAACCGAACCAGTTCCAGCATTTTGCATTTCATCTCTGAAATCGATCCCTTGCATGTTTTCCTCTATAAATATCAATGGGTCTTGGCATGGGCAGCTCCTACACATTAGAACGTTCTTTCAATTCTGGTTTGTTGAATAAAAAATACAAAATCTATGTCTGAGGCACCCTGCACACAATAAGACAGGAACCAAGTTCTGTTTAAGATTTATATTTATTTTAATTAATTACAGGTTATAATCGGCATATTTGAACAGCTGAAGATATTTCCATTAAGAAAAACAAAATGACAGTTTTAAAAAGTCTATTGATAGCCTATTTAACATATATCAGTGGTTTTAAATGAGTGAGGAGCCTATACAATTCACATGAGCAATAGTAACAAGAGACTTTAACAAGATGAGCTGAAGGAAAGAACTGTCTTTAAATGGAGAAAGCAGTTCTGTGGTATTTACAATGAGGATTGATTTGGAGGACGCCACAGAAGAGCTTGAGAACTTAAGCTGGGCTTTAGGGTTCATTCAGGATTGATTTTAGTGTAGTGATAAATTACTTTTCATGTACAGGTTTGAATAGTTACTGCTGGATTTTCTCTTATATTAGCTTCACAGCTGAAGCCTCTACAGAGCAGTCCAGTGCTGAATATACTGCAATACAACTCCTTTCGCCAGCCCTTTCTCCACGTCTTAAAATCACAACCTTCTCATTTTTTTTGACTGCAAACACTCAATCTATAGAAATCGTAGGGACAGCATTTTACAATGAGGAAGAAATCAGATAAAAATTGCTTCAGAACTTTCCAATCATGTCTACATTTGAATTGAAGAAATTGTATTAAGTGTTGATGTGAAATGAGACATTTAATAAGGCTTAGCAATGTATTATTGCACTTCTCAAAAGTAAAGATGAGGGCATCACATTTTTTTCCCCCCGATAAACACAAAAATGTGGTAAACTCCTGAAAATTGAAAGGCTGATAATGGATGCTACCATTCATCTCATAACACTGTATTCAAGTCCTTGAATTTGATTATTTTCCTGCATTTTTTTCTTGCTCCGTACTGTACACTGCATTGTTCAGGTTGTTTGGCATGCAGGTTCAGAAAACAGTATTTCAGAAAACCACTATAAACACAAACTGAGAACAACAAAGTATTGGCAAAGAAAATTCTTAAATAAATTAGCAACACCTGCTGTCAATAACAGGAGGTTAATTCTGTCCTGTGGCAGAAATCAATGAAATTTCCATTTCCCCTCTAAGTCAACTTTAAGAAGTCTTCTCAGGAGCCGCCATTTTGTTGGAATACAATGTTGGCACAGAAAACAAAACCCAAGAGTGAGGCATGCATGAACAAAAAGCTGACAATTTCAGAAAAAATAACCCCCAACTAACCACCATCCTTCGATCCTACCAAAATCTAAAACATCCTTGATTCCTAAATCTGTTTCCAGTTTTGAACCTTACATTCAGTGTAACATTTAAATAAAAAAAATAATTGAAAGTAAAGCCATTTAGGTCTTTACAAAATCTTCTAAAATTTTTTTGGGATGTCATGTTTTCAAAACCACACTTCAGAGCATTCCACTGATAGGTCTGTTATTACTATGGTTACCAAAGCAGGTTATAAAGAGGGAAGTTACAGAGAGCCACATACTGTAGATAAATTGCCAACCCTACAAAGTAGAGACACACGAACTGTGTCTAGAGCCAGTAACCTCTCCATTATGTAGAACAACAACAACAAGACAGTAAAATGTTGTTTAGTGGATGCAGAACATTGCTTGCAGTGAAAGGCAAGAAGAAACTAATGGTGAAAAACCCAAAGAAGCCATTGCAGGGCTCAGGAGAAATGACTGCAGAGATGAAGAAAGCGAGTTACCTCCGTCCCCCTCCAAACACAGTTCACAGCAGACCTACAGCAGCTTTTCACTTGGGTCACAACGTCTTGCATCTGAGCTGAGCAGAAGCGGCTAAACAAGCAAGGGGCTACTTCTACTGCCGCTTGTCTTTAATTTACTTAAATTGGACTATTAAATATTGTAAAAGCTAGCACAGCTAAAAAAAAAGCATCTCAAAGCGTTGCCCTTCGGGTCTCTTGGAATCACATGCCACAAGAGACAGACTGCAGCCCGAACTCCTTTGGAAATAGGCAATAACGGAGAATCCTGAATTATCCAGTCCCTGTGCTTGGAAGTTCTAAAGTTAAATAATATACATTATAAACACAAGCTTGCAGCATGTATGAACCCTGAAACGGCTCTGACTGCTCTTTACGTGGACTCGTATTGTCAATTCCCCACTCTGTTCCATTAGTCCTTTCTTTGCATGTAAAAATAGCCATCGATATTGTGCATTTTGAAGTGCTTTATGTAAATGAAAAATAAAAGGGCATTTTCCCTTCATACACACATTCTTCTCCTCAAAGTACAGAACACATAATTCAACAGATATTAAAAGAAGTGGCCAGGCTGAAAAAGGGACTCCTATTGATCATGCATGAGCTCTCTGTGCTCCACCATCAGTGTACCATTCTGGCGCATTACTCAGCTTGTACACGACAGGCACTGTAAACCCTAGCAGCAGAGAGAGAAAGCAACTGTCAAAAGATGAGCATCTTGCTACGATTTGTACCAAAACTTAAAATCAAGTGGAATTAATTTTTTTTTTCCATATGCACAGAATAGTGGATACATTGTTTTCCCATCAAAATGCATCGAAGCACCAAATTCATAAAGCATGAAACAGAAGTCACACCCTTTGCCATCATACCAACCACACTCACACCCAGAAATCTTTATCTTTTTTTTATCAAGGGCTTTCTAACCCATTAATTTAACAAACAAAGGCAAGATGAAGCCTGCCTCAAGATACGTTAGGGGAAGCTCTACTGTAGTGTGCTTATACTTGTAGGAGAACAAGGTTCCCATGTAAAATTAGAAGCTCAGTTTATTAAATGGTGACTTCCCAGGTGACAGTTATTGGTTTTTTAGATGTGCCCTAAAAAACTATCACACCATCATCCTGAGGCTCCCTTTAATCAATAAGTCTTTTGATGGCAACCAATATCAAAAACATAATAAAAAACATCCAGACATTCATGAAGCACGTGATTATATACAAAGATGTTTTAATAAGGGCAGTGTGAGGTTACATCTGGGTATTGGAGGAAACTTCATATTGCCACTTCAGGGTATATGCTTCATGAGCAGCAGCCAGAAAGTAGCCTTATGTTAACTGGCTTTCACATGCACTGGAAAGGAATGCATTTTTCTCCATTGTAATGATCAAGTTTTTCCAGTCTAAAAAGTCTCATGAGATCCCAGAACACCGTAGCGATGGCTGGAGTTATACTCATGTAAGATATTGGTGCTAATCCCTTCTACAGAGTCCCACTGTATTGGCTGAAACTCTCCAGCATTCATTCACTGGCCACAGAGCCTCACATCCTCACCCTGCTATTGGCCAACAATCATCATTTTAGCACCCAATCATTGAGCAAGTTCATCCACAGTACATTAGATACAATAGGTAGACATGAATATTAAGTTGACAAGAGTAAGAGGTCTAAAAGGTTGATCCCCCTCCATAGGTTAGAAGAAAAAAACAGATTCAGCACAAAATCCTAGTCGTAGGCTTGAGAGTTTAAACAAAAAGAAAGGAAGCTGTATCTGGAAATAGCTGTAAATGGGTTTTTCTAAAACTGCCAATTGAATGATGCACAGGGTTCAAAACTGCTTAGTTGAGATTTAATACAAATGCAGAGGAAAAATTAGCTTCCGTTATAGTTACAGAAGATTTGTGGGTGCACATCAGACACTGGCAGGCAAAAGGAGATATAATGGTGCTTATGCAGATACTGTATCTCTGTAGTTTTGTGTAATCTGAAGTTTGTGGCTCTAAGTTTCAGAAGACGAAACAATTTTCACCCGCTGCTCCAAGACTGCAAAGGGGGAGAGAGGGCCGTCAAAATGCGAATTCCCTCTGGAGGTGTCCACCCGCCCTCAGAAACACAAAAATAGCTTTTATATATGTGGGTATATATATGATATATACACACACTAGGGTTCTGTGAGGAAATGGATTGTCTGTGTCAGGCCATAATGCAGGGAACCTTACCATCTCCAAACTGGCCTAAAAATTAACTGACCCTCCCCCCCAGCCTGTCTCTCGTCTCCCACAGACAAGGAGGTTGGTACACGTCAAACCAAAAGAAAGTAAATCCAGACACAATAAACCCCAGGGGATCTGAAATCTCTCCGTGCTGAGGTGGCGCCAAGTATCTTTGCCTTCTTCTTTTAAAAATCTTTTCCGGCCGGGCCCATGGCGGGGGGGGGGGGGGGTGGTTGGTTAGCAGGTGGGATCGGGGGTCCCCCCCCCCTCAGGAAAGCTCCGACTTGCTGAGTGCGATGGCCAGCTCCAGGTCCTCCTGCTCCTGTTGGGTCAGCCGGGCCAGGCGCTCCTTCTCCTCCCTCTCGCTTTCCCGCTTCACCCACTCAATCATGTCCTCCTCCGTGGGATACTGCACAAGCAAGCACACACACAGACACCGCAGGCCGTCAGAGCACAGGGACACCAGCAGCTGCACACTGTTTCCCACTGACACCTGCAGTACACCAGCAGGAACTACCATCAACCGATCGGCACCCCTTTTCAGAAGCTTGACTTCACTTATATTAACATTAAGTTTCTTGCTATGGACAGCCTTTACAGCTGTCTCATTACATAGTGCCCTGCTGTACTCTTCATTATAATTCTAATCACAATCGCAATTTCCCTTTTTTCCCCCCCAAGGTTTACAATATGGAATCATTAATTGTTTCCAACTCTGTTCACTGTTCATTGCAGCAACAGAGTACAAATGTTCTGTAGTCGCTTCGTCACACTGCAGGCTCTTTGGTGTTTCTGCAATATAAAAAGGGCTTTTCACCCACAACTGCAGGTGAAGGACATCATGTGGTCATACTGCCCTCTAGTGATGCCACATTAGATTTGAAATCGGTACACAACTCATTCCAATTCTTGATTTGTGTTACAAAAGAACCGTTGCAATTAAAATGATGGCATTCTTCCCATAAACCTAGATTTAGATTTGTACTTAAATAAGCACAAACAGACAGTCAAAGAGACCAACGGAAGATCTCAAAGAAACAAACAAAAAAAAGCTCTGGGAATACAATTCCTAACAGACTGTATTAAACTTGATTTCTGGGCCCTGTTTATGTTGGTTTACAACAGATAATCTTTATGGGCAAATCACCTCTTTTTTTGCAAATACACTGCACATATTCATCTTCTTCAAGAAACCGACAACTGATAAACAGCACTTCAAACATTTAAAAGGCAATGAGGGTCTACTAGTTGCATGATAAAACATCATTTTATCCAAACAAGCAACAATTTATGAAAAGCTTCCTAGTCGTAATGAACAAGACTTTCACTTCAAGCAGGTCTTACCAAGACATTCTCATGATAAGAGAAGACGTTTTCTTAGTGTTTTAGTTCATTTAACTAATCACCAGGGTGATTAAAACTACACACTGATTTATTACACATAATCATACCGTAGGCCATTGTTTTTGGCTCATTTTTACTACGATTTTACTGTTAAAACAATGGAACTGAAGAAATCTTCCAATTAGGTTTTCTAGGTTTGTGCACTTTCCTTTTCCAGAAACCTACAGATATTCAGCTGACATCAGTTTAAAGTATATTTTTGCCCATAAAGTTGAAACATGTTAACTAGGGAACAGATTTACTCAAGTTTATGTCCTTTCTTTTTTCACAAGAAGAACTGCATTACACAATAGAGCACATTTTAATAACTAATCTGATATAAGTTAATTGACAAAACTTTAATGTTCAATACCTTACTGCACATAGCAGACATAACAGCATTTAAAACAACAATGTTCAATTAGAAGAATTTCTATTATATTTTACAAAAAACATATGGACCATTTATTGGAATCTTGCTTGGAGAAAAATACAGAAGACCAGAACTTCTGATTATAAGAATTAGGTCTAAAAAGAAATTAACACACAATAGGATTAGTGGAAACAGCAGACAGAAATATCACCTCGTAACCTGATCTTTTCAGATTACTAAACAAGGCTGGGCCTGGCCAGTACCGAGAAGGAAGGGAGTTCAGATTTCCTGCTGCTTGGAATGGTACTAAAGTAACAGGTGACATTCTTCCCACTGATCAAGAATTTCCACTCGAATGCCCAAGGGCCAAGGGACACTGTGCTGGAATTTTTACTACAGAAAAAAAAAGTTTAATCTAAACATTTAATCTACCACCTCCTAATAATAAACCACACAGTAAGGATGGAAGAAGACAAATAAAGAGCATGAATGTGAATCTCAGCTGTCCTATAGACAATACTGTGAACACACTAAACATTAAAATTACCTTGAGAGTCCTGGATTACCAGCAGCCTTTTGGCTGAATTAAGAAAAAATCAGATATTTCAAAGCCCAGTTCAAAAAACAATTCCGCAATGGGTGTTTTTATGTGCTGGATGTTAAGTTGCACAGTGGTCAGTTAATGGGACTGTCATATAGGAAATGGAAAAAGAAAACCAGAGCACATGCTTTTAGGGATGGGCCAGCCAGTACAGAGCAAGTGAAAGACGAGTCATTAGCCGACAGCGGTTTATTGGGAAAGAGCGCTGGCACACAATTTCTGTTGCACTCCCACATACTGCCTGACAGAAAGCATTACGGAAACTTGTACGATATAAACGCTATGGAATACACCCTGTCCAGAGTGGTCAAAAGGCACTGGACCGTTCAAGAGTGCACCCACTCAGGAAGTTTAGATCCACTTCCACAATAACATTTTCAAGATAAAATTGACATTTTTAAGAAATTAGATGTTTCCCAAATAGAACCACATCCAAGATTTTAAACAGTCAAGTCTTATTTTTTATAATTTTCATACAGAGTCCTAGAGGTTTTTATGGTGTCTGCATGCTAATAAATGATGGCAGGAGGACATTCCAGAATGTGGTCATGGGCAGCGGTTTGTAGTAGCTGTTCAGTTCAAAATAAAGCTGTGGTACACACAGTTATACATGGCGATACAGTTTAACCAGCTGAAAGTCCTGAGTTTTTCCAGGCCCTTTTATAACAATAATTCCTTACACTTATATATGAACACTCCACTCAAAGCTATTTACATTTAATGGGGACTCCCCTCCACCACCATCAACGTACAGCTCCCACCTAGATGATGTGACGGCAGCCAGGAGGCTGGGGTTACACCCCTATTCTTTTCAAGAAACACCCTGGGATTTTTAATGACCACAGAGAGTCAGGACCTCCGTTTTACGTCTCATCCGAAGAACGGCTATTTTTTACAATATAGTGCTCCCGTCGCTATACTGTGGCATTAGGACTCACACAGACTGTAGGGTGAGTGCCCCCTGCTGGCCCCACTAACACCTCTTCCAGCAGCAGCCTGAGCTTTTCCCAGGAGGTCTCCTATCCAGCTACTAGCCAAGTTCACATCTGCTTAGCTTCAGTGGGCTGCCAGTTGTGAGTTGTAGATTGATATAGCTGCTGGCAACCCACTGAATCTTCGCAGGTGCCGGTTTTTAAATGCATAAACACAAGCTTTTCATCCAGACTGGTGGGGAATGCAAATTTTGTTTTGAGGTTAGTGTATATACCCCAGAATGGAAATGTAGATTTGTAGCCCATTTGGCTTGAACACCTCTACAACCCCCATACCATCAGGAGATACTTAAGGACAATATGGAAAAAAAGAATTTTGCGGGACAAACAAGCCAGCCATTTCTTTTTACAGGAGTAAAAACAGCTGAGCTAAGGCATTAGATGTCACTGCAGACACTGCAGGTTAATGTGGACCTGCTGGGCAAGAAGCCTTGGAAACCAACTCCGAAACCACCTAGTGCTGGCAGCCCACGGCCAATCAGGGCGAGCTCACAGCTCAGTCCATCACTCTTGAAGGGCACCAGAAAGGAAGGGAAACATTTACTGCAAACACGGCTTATACACCTGTAATCCCCTGTGCCTACTGGGCATGTGTGGAGTGCACTGAACAATGACGCCAGGCCTGATGAACATGCAGCTAGGTTTGAAGTTAGAGAAATATGATAAAGCAGAGGAGAGAAGAGAAAAAAACAGACCAAAATGATTAACAGCAGTCACATATTTGCAGAAACATTGCAAACTGTGATAAGCGAGAAAATTAAACCAGTGTTAATGGTTCCAACAGAAGAAGACAACATGCTGCACTTCATACAATGTATCTGCTGATCTTCATGCAAAAGAAAGTTTGTGGTGCTTCTAAAGTATATGCGATCACAATGATATTCCAAGGAGAAGGAGGAGGGGGTGATTAATGAGCTCTTGCAGGCAAACGATTCCAAGCGATGATGAAAAAGAAGTCAATGCATGGTCTCTCACACGAGGGGGCACATTCAGGAGGAGTTACAGTGACAAGGCCAGGGAGAAATGGGACACCAAAATGCTAGTTAAGAGTGTGCCGGACTTGGCGTCCTGATGGAGGGATGCAGTAAAATGAAGACTCTGACTGGGTGCTCTTTTAGTCTCTTTTAGGAAGTCGCCATAAAAAGACGTGGTCACTAACAACAGTCCAGCTTCTCCATCCACAGCCAAATTTGAACAAGGTCAATCTAAGCACTGACAGTGCACCAACCAGAGCGCTGGCACTAATTAATATCAATCCAAAAACCTGCATAAGAATTGTTTTAGTATACTACATTGGATTATACATTTTACTTCTGGAATTTGATCTAAGCACATCAAATGGCAATCCTTATCTTCTATTGAAGAGTATGAGCTCTTTTATCCTTGCTTTCTCCAACATCCTTTCCTTTCAGCCAAAGCAAAAAGGCATATGAGCAACCAATAGAACAGCTCCATTCAGGGATAAGCCTGAAGAGTATGGGAAATACTGTCTTAGCGCAGAAAGGAAACAGTCTGCAGCAGCTGTAAAGAGCACGCACATTAATAATTGTAAAATGAATGACTCATTTTACAATGTTAATAATCCATTACTTAATTTTAACCTCCTTATTTAGTTCCACGTCAGTTGCCATAACTTATTTCCTATCTGGTTTTTGGGTTCCTCTTTGGCTGGAGATGGAAAGATAAGCTCAAGCTTGAGTCTGTCTGGCAGGGGCTCTAGCAGGCAGGGAGGTGCTCACTTTGTCAAAGCTGGCGAAGCTGTCAGGGTCCTTCAGAGTCTGTCTGGGAGAGGACGGGGAGAAAGGGTCCTGCAATTTCTCCTCCTGGGACCGAGAGCTGTCTCCGGATCCCCGAGACAGGAAGGAACCTTTCCGATGGAAGGAGTCCGAGGACTCAGATCTGGAAATGGAGGACCGCTTCCCTGCGCAGACACAACATCACAACAACACTTACAGCAGCCACGCTTGGCGAACACAGGAAAAGGGGGCAAGGGGTCTCTGAAAATTTCCATGCTCTGGGAAACCGCAGCGGTCGGAAAACTGGTCATTTTCCACTTTGCTATTAATTGCTCGGTGTGTCCTGTTGTTATTAAAGTGTGTGTTATTAAAGCACAGATACAAGCTTTCACAGTTCAGGCACGGGCTAAAACCTCTACTGGAAAAACACACCTGAACAAGGCCACTTGGACAGCAAATGTGTCCAGTTTTCCCAATAAGGCAGGCAGCATAAACAAGAGTTCGGCGTTTTCAGACAAAACTAAAGAAGTGCACAGGCAGCCATCTTTCATTATATATACAGTCGAACTGCAGAAGGCAAACCAGGAGGCAGGACTGCCCTATCGCTGGAGCCAAAGAGCAGGTTTAGTCGGGTCACTAAATGAAAACCTCACTGCTAGAATAGAGTGACCTGTTGTAACCTAGGCGGGACCTTGGGGACCAAGCGCTCATGTCCATCAGAGAGCAGGGCAGTGAGGCCAACAGGCAGGCTTGCCCAGCTGGCTTGTTGTTCGTGTGAGCTGCCAAGACAGCCGGACTGGGAGCAGCTCCATTCTGCCCCACTCCACAAACCACTGTTACCTGGCGGAGGCGGCGGGGGCCTGGTGGGGGTCCCCGTCTTGGGGGGCAGGGCAGGCGGCACATCTGGACTCGTCATTCTGTCCTCCTGAAATAGGTTCTTACTGCTCAAGACATCAGAGCTGAAAGGATCTGAGCCATTGGACTATGAAGCAAACAAAGGTTAGAAAACAATCTTATTCAACTTTGTACAGATTAGCACAAGCTACCTTAAAAATAGATACAAACTCCACAACCAGACGCAGGACTATAAAGAAGTGTAAGAAGACTCTTCCATCTTGCCCATCTTCCAACCATTTGTGTTTTACTGCAACACTCATTGAAGAAGAGGTGCATATTTCACCAATAGCACTGATAGTTTGCGGGTGCCCAGGAAGTCTCAGGGGCTGATGTACCATCAGGAGCTGAGGGGGGCTTCGCAACAGATCCCACCCCACTCTCAGTGCTGTTAAGACAACAGATCCCACCCCACCCTCAGTGGTGTTCAGACAACAGATCCCACCCCACCCTCAGTGGTGTTCAGACAATTGTGCTCCATCACTTGGGAAGTCTCAGTCGGCTAGTAACCTGATCCAGACTCTTGCTCTCAACACCCGGATCATAGAACTCAAACTGGGCTAGTGCCTGCACCTTTACTCACTGAGCCACACAGGAGTGATACAGCTTATTTTAGTGTAGAAAAAACAACTAAATCAATCACAGGGGGATGCATTCCTGAAAAATGCCATGTCATTAAAAAACACAAAAACAATCCCCCATAGGAATGCATGCAAACAGGGGGGGATGTGTTGTGGGTTCAGTCTCAATCTGAGGGTTGAACTCCCAAATAAAAACAATTACATGCTTTCATTTATATAAGACGTTTATATAGTTTTAATGTTTTAATAAATGCTTGTGGATATTTTGAATTCCATGTCAACTGTGAAGGGAAGGCTTGTAAGTGGCAGGTGGTGAACAGTGTGGAAAATGGTCACATTCCCAAAGACTAAACAACTCCACATTGCGCCATTTAAGAGTCACATTAGTAACATTACAATGATTATTTATTGACAGATTGATATGATTATTAACCATTTTATCCAAGAACAAAATTTGCTTTTATGTTGAATGTTAAGTTTGACAACTGCTTTTCATATTTGAAAAAAAAAAACTTCGTCTTTTAACCAGCTCAATCATAACCTGTTTTCTTTTAGTCTACAAATACCTGTGGAAGGGATCACGGACATAACAGTGTGAAATGTCATTTACCTTTGACAGGTTGCTAAAATCAGCAAATCCACCTCCAAAAGTGTCACTGCCAAACACAGAGGCAAAGGGGTCTGTGAGGGAAACACAGAGAAGATTACACACTAACAGAGGTGACATTGTGCTAGTGGTACCCTCCATAACGCCAACTTAAACTACACACAGCCACTTCTGGGACAAGATTTAGTATTGAAAATAATTAAAACATGATTATGAAGCAATAATGATTTGACCTATGACTGCGTGTGCTTTCTCCCACGTCCCAGAGACCTGCTGGTTAGATTAAGTGGTGTCTCTAAACTGTTCCTATCCCTTGTGCTTATGTAAGTTTTAGAGTAAGGTGCAAGAAACCTTAAGAGGTAATTTTAAACTTCCTGAGAAAATCAGCCCAGCCTTCAATCCCTCTGTGCACAAACAGGGGGAGACTCACCTGGGTCAGAACCTGTGGTTACTGCAGTCCCTCCTGGAGCAAAGGGGTCATTGACCAGGGTTGTCTCCATCTGAGAAGAACCAGGAACTGTTACTGCCAGACTCTTCACACATTTGTACTGCTGTCTTTGCTTTGTCTAAGACTTGCTATTGAGTCTTTTGTCATTACTTTTCCACAATCTCATTAAAATTGAACTCCATTTCTCAGGTGGGTGAAAAACAGCCCAAAATATACATTTTGTAGCATGTTTGAATTTCAAAGAACCTCAAAAATGTTAAAAAAGTAATTTTCTTTTTTTTTTGCAAAAGTGACAGGAAATACATACCAACACATACACCACTGCTTCCCACACATCAAGTCCATACAGTATCTTAGCTACATAAAATACACAGGCCAGTAGGTTCTAAGTCACCCAATCAAATCCGACAACTAGATTGGTGCCGACAGGTTCAGTGCACTGTACTGCTCAAGGTGGACAGAAAAAAATCATTTTTAAATATGCTAAACGTATAAATCATCCTTGTTTTTGTATGGAGCCAGCGTTGTCAAGTGCTTGCAAACTCCCTAACGGCAAGAAAAAAAAGTCATCAGGCCACCTCGCTGAAAACTGAGCACTGCAGGACTGACCTTGGCCAGCTCTGGACCGCCGGTGGAGCTCGTGAAGGGGTCGGCTTCTGCGGTGCTGCTCATCTTGGAGCTGAAGGGATCGGCCTCGGGGGGGTTGCCTGGGGCCCCACTGAACGGGTCGGCCGTGGCAAAGGGGTCAGCCGACGGCTGCTTGAAGAAGGAGTCTGCAGCGAAGGGGTCCGTGCCTTTGAATGGGTCTTCACCGAATGGGTCTGACGGACACAAAAGCATTACTACATTCACAATCTCTCAGCATACATGAGCTTAACGGGGGCTGTGTTATACTGTATTAACACCTACTGCGGCAGAGTCACTGAGAAACAGTCTATAGTCTGGTGTGCCTTATCAGAAGGACAGGACACTAGAAGATCCAGCAACATAATTAGGGCACCAATGGCTTAACTTTGTCTTGATAGCCATTATTTTATTTTATTTTTTTCTGCTAAATCCCTTCTTTCAGTCTGCTAAGGCCATTTGTGATCATGTACAATGGCTTTTTATATCCTAAAGAAATCTCTATATTTGAATATGATAAAGTTTCACTGTTTACCAAATGGCACAATTAAAACCATTTTGGAGCCTCTAATTCGACAACACAGCTACACAACATATGAACAGTTTACCACTATTAATACACAGCTCTGAAAACACTCCCCCATTGAAAACCCATTCATGTAAAATAGGTCACAGTATGTGGGTTTTATATAGCCTAGGATGCCACCCACAATTCAAATTCAGAACAACTTGTTGAACTGAAATCCCCTAAATGTATTTGCATATTCTATCCTGCTTTTTTAACAAAAGAATATTTGAAACGTCCACCTTTCAATTTACCTGAAACGTCCACCTTTGTAAATGGATCATCTTTGAATGGGTCATCTAAAATAAATAAAAATGTCAAAAAGTAATTGTTGGTGGCAGATGGAGAATTAGCCAAATCTTTACACAACATGCTTGCAATTTAATGTTATTTTCTAAGAGACCAATATTTTATGTAACTTATTTCTAAATCTTGTGAATTAATGCGTTGGCCTGCCCATGGACCGGCACTTGTATATAGGGAGACAACTACTGTATATTAAATTTAAAATAATGTATTTTAATAAAAGGGAAATACTGTCCATTTTACACCTATCCATAACCTGATTAAAGCCAACCAGCAAAACGAAACAGGCTGGTTTCAATGACCGATTCCCATGTTTTCTTCCCGTACTTATCCAAGGTTTGAAGCCGTTATTTTTTGTTTCTGCATCTTGTATTGATTATCCAATGGAGTCAAACAGAATGAAGTCATGTGTGATTGAAAAAATACTCCGGAGAGAGGACTGGAGCTCAGGGCACTTACTGTCCGTGAAGGGATCCGACTGGAAGAAGTCCAGTCCGCTCTCGGTGGAGGGGTTGGACTGTGAGGGCTCTGGCCTTTTCTGTACTTCAGGAGATTCCTCCTGCATAGATGTTCAGACACATTTGCAAAAGACAAACACTTCAAATAAGAGCATTTTAATCTACTGAGCAGCCACACAGAGTGCAGAAAGGACAGTGGGGACCTCTCTTGGTTTGTAGTGCCTGAGGAAAAGATGCTTTAGCTGTTCCAAACATTTTCCTTTCAATAATACGAAAGAAAACGGGATGTCGCAGAGAAATTTCGGAAAAGATTCTCAAGAGCACTGGACTGACCCTAGCTGTGACTAGGAGCCACCTTACTATATTCTTACAGCCCCAGCGAGTAAAGGATTAATCTTTAGCCTTTTATAAATTGCCAGGTGGAAACTACAAACTCTACACGGACTAGAAACACACTGTCCTCCTACTAAAAAGGACATTCCCATTAGCAGCTTTCAGATGTCACAATGCCAGATTTGCCAAAGAAAACTAACTTGTTATTTCAGAAGTTGCAAACTTTACAAATGATGAATATCCAACTATACATCAGTAAACGATTTAGAAATGAGGTCACCTTTAGTAACAAACATGCAGTTAATCACTTGCTCATTGATATACTGCAGGTTAGAAATAAGTTATACATAAAATTTGCAACCCCTGACAGAAGGTGTTTCCAAACATACATTTTCTCTCAAAGCCAATTTCTCCCATATTCTTTTATCAGGGAATATTATTTTTAATGCAATGCTTCCTAGGGCTCTCAAAACCAAATTAGTTCTTCACACCTGAAGAAGGCTCAACGGCTGAAACACTGCATTTTCTTTCTTCTCTTTTTAGCATGGAATAAACCTATTACTTGTTCCTTTGCAGCCTACGCATGCTGACGCAGCTACCCACCTGAACTACAAATGACTTGATTACTCCTTACATCTATAAAGCGATTTTCAGCCCAAAGGAACCACAGTGCTTGCTACATACTGTAGGAAGGACTCACTTCATCCACCAATGTTGTACAGCAGCTACCTGGGTGACCTATGACAGTCATTCTGCACCAGCTGCCCCACTAGGACAGAACAGGTGGACCAGTAAAAAACACATCCCCCAGTTGCATTAAGGAAGAGCGCTGAATAGGCCAGATTACGAGATCCCAGAAAGGAATTTAGCCAGGACCTTTTTTTGATTGTCTCATCCAAAGGACAGTGTTTCACAACAGCAGTGTCACAATATGACAAGTGAAACAATGCACGACACACAGTGTGTCGAAAGAGATTGGCATATCTTCATTCCTGCAGAGCCCTGGAGAGCCTTCGTCACTTTCCTCAAAGGGTCCAGTTGCGCTGGCAGAGACAAGTGTTAAGATTAGAGAATTCCAGCAGCAGGAAGGCAGCGAACCTGTGGCTTGGGAGGACTGTCCTCTGGGAGTTCCTCTTTTTCTTCTGTTGTGTTTTCAGCCAACGAGAAAGGGCTGCTCCTTTCCTACAGAACACCAGAAATGAGGAGAAACAGGACAGTAAATTGCTAAGAGACATGAAAATGCCTCCATATATAATAATAATAATAATAATAATAATAATAATAATAATAATAATAATAATAATTGCTTACACTTATATAGCGCTTTTCTGGACATTCCACTCAAAGCGCTTTACAGGTAATGGGGACCCCTCCACCACCACCAATGTGCAGCCCCACCTGGATGATGTGACGGCAGCCATAGTGCGCTAGAATGCTTACCACACATCAGCTATCAGTGGGGAGGAGAGCAGAGTAATGTAGCCAATTCATAGATGGGGATTATTAGGAGGCCATGATTGGGAGGGCCAATGGGAAATTTGGCCAGGACGCCGGGGTTACACCCCTGCTCTTTTCGAGAAACGCCCTGGGATTTTTAATGACCACAGAGAGTCAGGACCTCGGTTTTACGTCTCATCCGAAGGACGGCGCCTGTTTACAGTATAGTGCCCCTGTCACTATACTGAGGCATTAGGACCCACATGGACCGCAGGGTGAGCACCCCCTGCTGGCCCCACTAACACCTCTTCCAGCAGCAACCTTAGTTTTTCCCAGGAGGTCTCCCATCCTGGTTCTGACCAGGCTAACACCCGCTGAACTTCAGTGGGTTACCAGTTGTGAGTTGCAAGGTGATATGGCTGCTGGCTGAAAATATATTTGATGATAAAAAAGTAAACCTCTCACTCTAGTTCAAATCAGCTAGAACAGACTGAGAAAAGCATCATCCTGTGCTGAGGCAATTGAACAAATAGAACTGAATTTCATCCTACGCTGCAGCTCTTAAGTCTTTGAAAGCACTCGCTCTGAAATGTTCCCAAAAACTCCAAAAAAGTGTAACACAGAAGCAAATCTCTAAGATCTAAACCCTTTTCAATATATCTGCTGCACCACAATGTATATACTGTACAGTTACATTCTATAAATAAAACATTGCAATGAACTTGCAGCCTACTACCAAACTTTTTCTAAATGCTCTTGCCTTGTAGGCACTTTCCTTTTCATTTTCCGTAACACTCACAGAAGTGTGAAGTAGTACTAAGCGTGGTAGAAAACATAAGGCTGGAGGAGTGGTTGAGGCAAAAAACCCATAACCGACAGGTTGTGGAATCTTGTCCCAGACTGCTGTTGCAAAGGAAGAAGTAAAGGATTATTCCATGCTGAAAAGAGAAGAAAAGAAACAACACCACAGCCGAAATGTTGTGCTTCGTTTCTTCTTTTCAGCATGGAATAATCCTTTACTTCTTCCTTTGCAGTCTATGCATGCCAACGCAGTTGCCTACTTAAACTTCTTCAACCCAGACTGCTGTTGTACCCTTAAGCGAGGTGCTTCACTCAAGAGCGCTTCAGTAAAATGTCAGGTGGTACAAAATTGTACAAAGATATGCAGCTTTGGATAATAATCATATTCTTCAGCACCTCTTTATTTCTTCCCCAATGACAATAGCTGGATTGACTCACCGGAGTGTCCTGCTTCAAGGTACTGGGGATGCTGCTGTAGATGTCCTCAAGGACTGCGGGGTCCTCCTCAGGGGTCTTCGGCACCTCCTCCTCCGACGTGCCATTTACCAGTGGCCCCACCAGGTGCTGTCTCCAGCTCGTCTGGCTCCTGGAGTCCCTCTCCATCTCCTTTAGCTCCAACAGTTTCTGCTGAACCTGCAGAGCACAGCCAATCAGTGCCACACCAGCCTAGCAGCACAAGTTCCAGAAAGGTGTAGCATGACACAACTGACAAACTTCTGCACAAACATTTCAGTCTGAATGGAGCCTGGAACAGACTGGGGCGCTTGAAGTCACTCCCTATAACTAAGATACTAAACTGATAACAGGTGACAACAAAAAAAGATTGCAACTGAAAAATAACACAACCACATTACAGAACATTTGAAAGTGTTCCAAATGTTGTCATTGTACTGTAAGTGATATATTCTCAATTCCAAGCAGCACACAAGGGACAAATTAACTGAGCCTGTCACAACCCATTTATATTAAAGTGCACTGCCAAATGGGGAGGGCAAAATCAAACTGTTAGAAAAATTCAACAGTCCCAGGCGATCAATAGTTTGGATCCTAAGGCACAGCAGTACTGACTCTATAAGCTGTTTAATACAATATATAATATTGATGTTGCAATATTTCTACTACTGCTTGTTTCTTATGGATTTAATGGTATCATCTAAACACCAGGTCTGCCTCCGTTTGAAGCTCAGCTAAAACAAATGCATGCTGTCCTGTCAACCAATCAGTACCCTGAGTGTGCCCAGCTGGGATTTTATTTTCTCCTGTCTTGGAGGCACCAAAGCTTCATAGTAGCTTCACAGTACTGTGAGTTCTAATGAGGTGAAGCCACAATGAGTCCTGTCCTACTAACACAACCATTACACCTACAACACACCACAAAAGCATGGCTGAGGGAGCCTATCTAAACAAACAGCATGATTATTATAGCTACTAAATACTATACTTTATGTGTTCTCCGCTTATATGGTAACATGAGTTCAAGTTAGCAGCTGAACCAAAAAGGCTCAGTTAAACAAAAGAGAAAAGAAAAATTTTTAAGTGGAGCAAAAAACAAACAAGAGCTCTAATGAAAACTGACACTGGAATTATGTACCATTTTAAAGCAACTGCAATCCAGTTAATGTAGGGTAGACGCAACCATACAGCAAAAATGTAGAATATTGTCAGAACGTCAACTGTTCAGAAAGGTATGATTTACTCTTCAGTTTGGGGAGTGCAATGTACCCCTTAACTGAAATGTGCATTGCAACTTCTTTGTTTTCTACCAAGTGCTTTTCTTTGCTACAAGGAAAGGTGTAATTTGAAAACCAAGCACTCTTAACTTTTCAGCCTTAAGGTCAGTAAAGGGAAGACAAAGTGCCCCAGATATCCACATTTATCAATAAATCAATATTGTGACCTTATTTTAGTCCTTTCCAATAACACATTAAAGGTTAAGCCTGAACAGTTAAGACCCTAAACTCGTGTACAGCTTCCCAACACACTTCATAGTCACATTAATATTCAAGCCTGTTTTCCAATGGGCACCACTATGTGTATAGTCAATACTGAAATTGCATACATGGGAAACAAAATACAACAGTAACAGCAAAATCAAAAATAAAACCAGGAAAAGAATCCTATATTTTTTGCTATGCATAAACATAGGTAGAAATCATAAATCTGCCACAGAACTGAAGGATGTTTTCCAGAAATAGAAAGATGAAGCTCAGCTTTCCACCATTTTCTTGCCATTCTACCACAGAGACAGAGGGTTGCAGAGACACAAAGTGCTCAATACAGTACACTTTTTGATGTCTGTGTAGCATTATTTTGATTAAAAGATAGAAAATGTGTACTGATTTGTTCATCATAAACTCATAAAATGAAATCGAAGAAACAAATATTGGAATGATCTGGTAAAAGTTAAGTAAACTGCACTGGTGTCCTTAATTAATGTTGACTACCTCATTTGACACTAACAATTGAGATGGACCTGTAGGTAAAGCATTAAGTTTCCTTTTTTGCTTTTCAGTATGTTCCTTTGGAGCCTGCGCACACATTCTGTACCCAGCTCTAACATCTCTAAAAGACTTCAGAAAAGAAGCATCAAGACATGAGCCATGTGGTTAATGGCTGTTTCATATTGTCAAAGAATGAGAAAAGCAAGGTTTCACCATAAAGCCAGTGAAAGTCAGCTCAGCTTTCCGCAATCAAGGTACTACTTTCTGCCTTGCTTATTCAACCTTTCAATGTGCAACATCAGCATCATATCTAATGGAGACACATTGCACATAAAATCTTAGATGACCCCCTCCCATCCACTCTTTTTAGAATATACTTTCCAACCGTCATGGAGGAGGTACCAGATCCCCTGTATGAACACAAGAGAGCTTTTACTTCCTTAATAACTAAAAACAGTCCATCACCAAATAATGAAAAAATGTTTACAGGTAGAGATATTATTATTGATGTTGTTTTTAGACTCTTTACAAGCTAATTGTCTCTTTGTTTTTACCCTTAGGGGTAATTCAATTCAATTCAGTACTTTTTCTTTAGATGGTCAAAACGCCAATATCAACTTACAGTGTATCAGTTTCCAGCCATCAGTAAACATGCTGTGCCATAAATTTGCCTTAAAATTAAGTATGGGAAGTGATAATTCTACCTCCCTGATGTACACTGTTGAAGCAATTGAAACAATGCAATTATCTAGCTCAACAGGATTAAGAAAAAAAGACCTTACAGGAAAAACGTTTATGTGTGCCAAAGAATTTATTAGCGAGGGTCAAAAGAGAAGTTTCCCTTTCACTTCCTTTAAAAAGACAGTACTGGCTGTAAATCTTACAGTAGTTAAACTGACAAGAAAAAAACTAAAATTAAAACAAAGGGCCCGAACTATAAAGCATTCCATTAACAGTATTCTTGAATGGCTGGACTTTTATGAAAAAAGGTTTAAAAAAACTGATGGGTCAGTTTTTCGAACGCAAAAGCTGCCAGTCCACATGACTGAGCAGAAAAGAATAAATAAATCACTTCCAAAGTCAGTAGGCTCTGTGAGAGGCAAAAGAGCTTGCTTTTGTCAAAAGATAATCAAGTCACAAAGCCTGTCCTCAGGTCAGCTCATTATTCAACTTGTACACTGATTTGACGGCTTGAAATTAACAAGAGCTTTACTGGCAGCTGCACAGCTAGCAACTGATTGGTGCTACAAGTATCAGCTTACAGGAAATGACATAAATTACAATACTGGCGAAGTTTTCTCACAGTCTTCCTCCAGAGTTGGTTTAATTGCTAATTCCTAATTGTACTCCGATATTCTAGACTGTATTGTCGATTAAACGAAGAAATCAGCTTTGTATAATATATCTGAAGCTGTTTTGTTAGCTGTGTTGTTCAATTTCTTTCTTTACATATAAATCATCAGATCGTACTTGAGCTCCAGTGACATTTTGCTATAGTTTTATGAAACAACGTTGCATTGCAATGCTTTGCAGTCTTCTCTGACCCAGTGGATATTTCCTAGTATTTTATACTCCCTTGTATCTAAGAAAAATTATTGAATGTTGTGAATATGGAGTAAGAAAATAAAGACGAATAAAGGCTACAAAGACAGGAAACCATTTTGCTGATCTAAACAGTTAAGTAGCGAGTAGTTTATTGATAGAAGGTTCTGCCGTTTCTTGACAGAAGCCAAGGTACTGGCTTCAAAACAATGACTGGACAGCTTGTTACATACTCTCAAAGCCTTGCTATATAAACACAACCCTCCTATTCTTGGTTTTAAAAGCACTTCCACATAGATTCTAGTGATACCCCCTGGTTCGTGCTTCATTATGAAGAAATCCACTGGGATGCCTTTGAGTTTGTAAAAGTAAAAAGGTTCAGTTCCTTCAGCCCATCAGTATAGGACAGGATAATAAGCCCTAGAAAGCATCTGGCTGGTTATCTCTGGATTGATTCCAAATCAGCAATCTCTGTTCTATTATGCAGTGACCAAAAGTGTTCAAAATGAGGTATTACATATTCTACAGTGTTTGCCAATCTTTTTTAATTTGGTGTCATTTTGTGCATTTGCATTTTCACAGCATATTTACATAACCAATGACTGGAATTCCACGTTTTGTTGAGTCATTATAATCAATCGCCCACTTAAAGGAGACTTTTACGTCTTCTGGATGTATTTTAATTAAGAATAAACATAAAAAATATGAAATTGAGCTAGACTACATTAACCTTTTTATACAGAGAACTAAATGCAAAGGCACAAAAAAAAAGAAGGGAGATGTGCAGATGGGATTTAATGTTTTGTTACACTTCTGTAAGGCCTGAATGTGTCATAATAATAGTAATTCCTTGCACTTATATAGCACTTTTCTGGACACCGAGTCCACTCAAAGACCTTGACAAATAAAGGGGACTCCCCTTCCACCACCGCCAATGTGCAGCACCCACCTGGATGATGTGACGGCAGCCATAGTTCTCCAGTACTCACCTCACACCAGCTATCGGTGGGGAGGAGAGCAGAGCCATGGTGTCATGCGGAAATTGCAGGAGGTCCGGTACAGTACCTTGGAGACTTCCTGCTGCGAGCTGTGGAGCGACTCCTCCAGGGGGCTGAGCTGGGCCTTGCTGGCCTCCACTTTCTCCTCCAGCTGCGCCGTCTCCAGCTGCAGCTGTCGCAGCTGCTCGTGCGCCTGGGCCAGCTCCTCCTCGTATCGAGAGATCTTCCTCTCCTGATCCACACGCTCCGTTTGCAGTTTGGAGATCTGGGCGGGGGGGGGGAAGAGAGAGTTGAAGGAGGAAGATTTGAAGAATGAACAGATTATACAATTCACCTCCAGTTCAGGGATGCTTTTCGTTAATCTTTAAGCTTTTTTTGAAGCAAATTTAGTGTCAGTGCTTGGCTGAGGACCCAATAATGCAAAGCTACAAAGTTATGAGCTCTAGGGTTATGACCGAATGCTTCTAATTCAGAATCCCTTCTAAAAATGATACATTAAAAAAATTAAACGGTGTAAAGAACCCTAGCATTACGATTAAGATTCAAGCCATAGACACGGCTATCTTTTTTTTTTAACCAATATCCATTTAATCCAGAGGTGGGTTATCAGTTCTTATATGTTCAAATCAGGTTTCCCTCTGGGTGGTCCTGTTTCCTCCCACAATCCAAAGACTGGTAGGTTAACCGGCTTGTGGGAAAACTGGCCCTGGTGTATACGTGTTTGTCTGCAATACAATGGACTGGCATTCCATCCAGGGTGTACTCTGCCTTGCATCAGTTGCTTGCCAAGATAGGCTCTGGTCCCCCCACGATTTTGTACTGGACAAAGCCATTAGAAAATTATTTATGGATGAATGGATGTTACTGTTAAGCTTGTGTTACAGACAAAATACACTTGATGTGAGACTTTTTTTTATTGTTGTTATGAGCTGAGGGTGTATGTCATTTGCAGTTCACTACACTATACTGACTACACTATTCAAGACCTTACTCAGAAAACTAAAAATATTGAGGATGGTGTGAGGCATTTTCCTAGCTGTAGGTTAGTTCAGATTATCAAAAAGGCTTTTTTAGTGAATTACACTGGTTAATTAATTTCACGGTTAATCATCAGAGCGTTCAACATAGAACACACCATAAAGGGAAAGAGAAGGAAATCCCTCCTCTTTCTCTACGCTTGTGCCATGTCAGAGGACCTTGCTCTGGTCTATCTTGGAGACTCAATAATCTGATCATTAAAAAAAAAAGCTGTCCTTTTTTTTAAAGGAAATTCTTATTTCCTTTATTGTGGAATCCTCAGACTATAGACGTTCACTCCTAGTTGGTGATGCATTTTTAGAGCAGGGAGATTGATTCCCACGGAAGGGAGATTTAGTTCTGAATCATATTCTTCTATTTTTATTTCCCTTTAGGTTTAGCTTCCATTCTATTTCAGATTACAGGGGAAAAATTCTGCATGGAATGTAGGCCTCGGAAATGCATAGATTTGTAGATGTGTAATTGTGTAATGTGGTATACACGGTGCAGGTGCATTATTGATGGGTTGATATTTGTTTGACAAAGCTGTGTCAGAGAATATATAGAACTCAAGTGCGATTTCTCAGGTGCCTTAAATTCTTACCTGCTGTTTGGGTACATTTTAACCCGCCCCCCCCCCCCCAATTTGTAACACTATCAACACCATTCAAGTGATACACTGCAAGGACTGAGAGTGTTTGAACCTTAAATATCTAACTAGTGTCTCCACTGCCAGATGTCAGAAATGTTCATCTGGAAACAAAAGTGGCCATGAAAGGAGGATGATCAATGTGCTCAAATAAATAAACAGAAAACATCTACCTGTATAAAAGTACGCGGGTTTACACCAGAGGCAGGGGCCTGTTTGTACTAGGCTAAGTGTAATGTGGCTGTCCTCTCTTACCAGCTCGCTCTCCTGCGTGCACTGCTGGCGGATCTTCCCCAGCTGCTCTTCCAGAGCTTCTTTCTGCTGGTCCAGCTTACCCAGCACCTCCTGGATCTCCTGCCGCTGGGCCTGCAACTTCTGTAGCTCCCCACTTTCCCGCTGCACTTCATCCTGCAAGTCCTAGGGAAGAACGGGAGAGAGCCGCACGCAATGCATCAACACTGGGATGGGGGCTGCAGCCTGTGCAGGAGAAATCCCATCATCAGCATTCATCGTGTTTCTCTGGCTACAGCTGAGAAACATAAACCTAAAACATTGTTACTCTCAAAACACTTATTACCATTACCCTGGGAAAGTCATAGAGGCTTCAAGGCCATGCCACAGACCGAAATCTCAGTAGAGAGTCTGAAAGAGTTCCAGGGAAGTCAATATCAACACCATTCTGAATGCTGCCAAAGACACTGGCTTTAGTACTTGCACAGAGACACTAGTGCCCTTATCAGCAGAGAACTGCACCTCACTGCCAAAGTCAGAGCAGTACAGCCTTCAACAGTGCTTATTAAAACAAAACTATTTATTACTGAAAGCTTATTACACTGCCAAGAGGATCAACTTCAGCCCAATAGCAAGAAACTCTCTGTAGACACTGGTCTAATGCAGAGAAGATGATCGGACCTGTTCCCTGGTACCTAATATTATCACATGAGGAAAAAAAGCCTACATTTGTAAAATGTGGAAAAACTAAAACATTTAGAAATACTAAAATGTCATTTGTTTTGGTATTAAAAACCGTTGCTTCATCTCTCTTTATGTCATCGGAGGCTTAGTAAGATCCTTTTGAATTTCCAAGAAGATGCACTGCACCAGTATTCAAGAGCTTCAAAGCATTTTAAAGAGTTAGTTAGGTCAGGGATCCCAATCCTGGTCCCTGAGTCCCATGCACCAGCTTGTTTTCATTATAGCCCAACTTAATTACCTTATTCAAGCTGCAATTGAACAAACAAGTTGCCTCATTGCAAGTTGTAACAGCTCCAAATGGACACTAAATCATAAGTGCTAACTGATGCCTGTAACTGGTCCTTGGTTTCAAAATACTCTATGTAAAGGGCAATGATTCCAACAGTGTCACAACAATGAAAGAACACAGAATTACCACAGAGTCTCAACATTTATGCTTTTTATTCCTGCTTTTATTCCTTCAGATCACAGCTTACAAACTGGTGGACCATTAACAGCCAAGAAGCCATTTCGTGGCAACAAAGAAACAGTTCTTGAAGTCACAGATTTATGCAGATTCTTAAAATACACATCTCAGGTCTCCGTTAACAGTTCACCACAAATGGCAGAGGCAGTGGGAAAAAAAGCTGCTCCATCTTACATGTGCACGATACTTATAGATCATGAAATTCTTGTACTTTAAAAAAAATCATTCCGCTGGCTTTGCATCAGGTGATTTGAAGGGAATGCAGGTTGGCTATGCTGTTGTACTAAAAACAATACATTGCAATTGTCCGAAGCTGGGCATCTGGAGTGTCTCACTCAGGAAAGGCAGCCTGAAGCCTGGCTAAGCTCTATTGGTGTGGGTTCAAGGCCGGAGCCTCTAAGGATGATTGGCTGAGCAATGCTGAGCACAGGGTAGGATTAGTCACTCAGGAATCTCTCAGTGATGCCTGCAGTGCTGACCTTGAAGGATGAGCCACTCTTGGCTCCACTGTTAGCTACTTCACCTACACTTACTCATCCTGGGTTTGTAGCAGATTGAATAACACAGCAGGTAGGTATAACACATAAAATAAACAGAACACTCTCAGGTGGTAACCCACACACACCTTGCAGTTGGCTGCCATAGAGGTGCCATGGTCATGCTTACATTCAGGACCACTGGGTGGAATAACCAGAACAGACAGGCACGCTAGGGTGCTTCATTCACCTTTGGGCACCTTTACCCTGAATCCAACAGCACCCAAATCTGAATAACAATGGCTATTCCACTTTTACCCAAAATATCCATATAGGCTGATATCCCATACTGGCCAGCTTCAACCCTGAAACCATTAGGCCAGTGGGGGAACTCGGGTATAAAAGAGTTAAATCAAAAGAAATGGAGCAACTGGAGTTTTTTAAACTGTCCCCAGTGTATAAGAAAAACAAAAAAACAGAAGGTGGAAAGAAAGTTTTTTAAAGAAAACATGGCTCCACCTCCCCCATCCCATCAATCAACGATCATATTTGCAATCCCCATTTAGAAAGGTAATAAAAACTCATATTTCCCTTCCAATCCTAATTAATTCCAATTAGGTTTTACACAGAGAACACTAAACAAACTGGATCCTCTAAGCAGTCTGCAATTTTTTTTAACTGAGGTAAAACAAAAGGCTACCTTTCCATAATGAGGCCATAATCAGAGCTGAGCAGTCATAAATCCTGACAAGCACTACCAAGGTTTCACAAATAAGCCTTGAAGCATCTCATTCCAGGAAATGAAGCAAGAAGTCGAAACCTCCCAAGGATGAACCTTTCACTTAGCACAGCCAAGGACTCTGAGGGAGGCAGAGGCGAAGGAGACTAAATTAAAAATTAATAAGTGAACAAAGAAAAAATGACTTTTCTAATTGGATTCTGATGGGTGCCATTGTAATTTCTACAAAGAAACCACGCAAATCTTTCCAAATTAGTCTTGCTTCGCACTCAGCTGTCAGGTACTAAAATAGAAGCCATTCATCATGCCGAAAAGCTGTACAACGGCTGAGACAAAGGGCTTTCTGGTTTTATCTGCATAGCTTATTCCTCAAGCCCGTGCAGGTGTGAGTGCGGGAAAAGAAAAAAAAAATCAGGATTCTGTAAATAACGGGATGGTACCCAAGAAATCCATACAATTTTATCTGGAGAGAATGTATCATTCATTAATGCAGTTTATTGCAGTTTTCACAAATTCAGTGTATATACACCTATGCCAGGAGTAATCATTTTTCCTCCCCTTTATTTTTCCTACTGCTTGTGGTTAGAGTAGTGCAAATTAAATTGGTTTTAAAAACCAATTTACTTACAGTGAAATGAACCAGAGCCTAATATCTCTGCTGAAGCTCTTCCCGGGAAACTGCAGTGATGCATTCATTGTAACTCCCCCACCACCACCATAACCAACCAGCGGTGCTCTGACACAGCTCTGAATAGAAGCACTTACAAAACCGCACCTTCTCAAATTTACAGTTCACTCAATTCTGCGACAATGACTCAAGACAGCACAGGAAACTAGGCAACACAGTGTGGAAACTCAGCTTCGTCAGCTAATAGGAGCGCGCAGAAAGCTCTGTAATGCAGTTTAAAGCCTGTGGTAAATGTTAAAGGGAATTTGTATTACTGGGAGACAACACAAGGCATGAAACAGCATAATTGCTAACTTGAACTCGTGGGCAACAGAGCTTGATGCAGACGACCTATTACTGCAGCAAATCAGAGGTGAAAGGTGGAAATTCCACAATTTGTATTATTAGCCCATACATTTCAGTTTAGAGCAGAGCAAATTCTTTTCCCTCACAAGTTATTACTTATAACAAATCGCCAAAGAAATGGAGCTGCAGAGGAAACAAACTCGTTTACATTTCTTTTACACGACCTTCGTTTGGTGTGTTGAACTGACTAAAGTATATTCATGGATTCCTGTCAAACAAACAAGCTAACACAAGCTTAAAATGAAAGAATCAAAAAGGCACTTTTCATAGCAGTGGTCAGTTCAAGTGAAGGCAGAAAACAAACCCTCATGTATGGAAATGGAAAACAAAACGTTAAACCACATTTTCACGTAGCATCACATGAAAAATGTTTTAATTTACAAAGGGAAATGCTGGAAATTTCTGATTGCAGCAAAACTGAAAATTTCTTAAGCAATTTGCATGACCTAAATAACATTTTAAAAGCAGGGAATGTTTTAACACTGAGTGTAATATTGGTGTCGAACACTGAGTCTAACATATATCTGTGATGAACTGTCTTCTGGAAATCACTACAAACTTTCAGATCACTGTCATCTTATTCCACAGCCCTGCTGCCTTCCTCCTGACCAGTAGGAAAAATTTTAAAGAAGATTTGATCGTAATCATAAGTCCTTTATTAAAAATTGAATAAATATAGCTACCGGGGGAATATTTTTTAAAAAGTGGTTAATTTCAATACCCAGAGAACCAACTGCAGTCCATCTCATGTACAAACTGCCAGGTATTAATACAAAGGACTCTCCTGGAGGCCCCAATGTCTTGTGGTATTTGTTCCAAGCAAAGTCTGTCTTATAGTATGTGCAATCAACTGAGAAATGTATCAGCACTCCTCAGGTCTCCAAACTTATTCAAGAACAATTGTTTTAAACAAAAACACAAAATCTTTGAAGAAAAAAAAAAGTCCAGTTGTGACTATCAGCTCAATTATGTAACTGAGAAAACACACAAATGAAAACCAGAAAGCATGAGCAGTGAGGTACGAGACGACAAGAGCATAGACTATCGAGTAGCAGTAATAATGCACACAGCCAAGCTGAGCCTCTCGCAGCCAGTCTCGTGGTCATTTTAGCATTTTTCAATTGACGACTATGTTGGGTTTATTATTGTCATACTTTTTTGGGAATTTAATTTTTTGTGCGCAGTTCAATTTCCTATGTGCGCAGATTTCATAACCTGTGTACGCGCGCACAGCTTAGAGGGAACACTGCAGGGCAATGGAGCTCTGTATTCAATACTGTATTCTGTATTCAGCTCTGCCTTTCCTGTTTCTGTGATTCTGCAATTCATTTGGTTCCTGACTACATGCTGCACTCGAGCCAAGTCCTCGTGCTTCCACAGATCCAACCCAGCTTTTTCCCCCCATCAGTACTGCCACTGCCGAATGGCCCAACTGAGAGCTATATTTAGCTGCCTGATGGCTTATGCTAATAAATGAGTGTGACTGTAGCCTGTAAATAATGTTCAATTCAACTGCCTTGGTACTGTGATTGAAGTTAAGGGACCCAAGCCAGTTTTGTAGATTAATAATTAACTACAGGTATTGCCTAGAATTTTAAACAAGACCCCCTTGGGCTTGCTTCAGCAAAGGTTTAAGTGTATTAAGAATAACCATCACAATAGCACAGACTACATCCCTGCAAAACATCTTAATAATTAAAACGCTTAAATAAAAAAACACCTGCTGAAGGTTCCATGGTCGCAATGCTGTAGATCTTAAGCATTTCTTTTCAACCTTCCTTGGAGCTCAGTGCTCTACTCCCCAAGTATATATGGGGGTTCTTCCATCCGACTTTTATTAGGCTTTAAGCATAGAGATCAGCGTGTTGCACTGCTAACAATGTGACATAATGACATGCAGTGTAAAATTTAATGTCTTTGAAGGTTTTTGGCGCCACCAGCTTTTTTCAATAACTGATTAGTTAATACAATTATATACATATGTTATCCCTCTGTGCTTGGGCCAAGCTGAACCCCGTTCACTTAGTTCTAAATTTGAGATCACAGAGTTCCTGGTACATATAAAAAGGCCAGTGTAAAATTGACATTGTTTCCTCTGTAATATTAAAGCAAAATGCATTGTTGATGCAGCTTCATGCAAAAATGTTGGGCAATGCTATAATGAGCTCAGCTGGATTCAAAGCTGATGTTTAAATGAGCCTTCTGCATGTGGGACGCACTTAAAATCTAGCTTAGTACAACAGGGAAAGGGAGCTGCAATGTTATGTACCTAAATCCAGCGTTTAAATCAACTTTAATGAGGAAATCAGCAAGAATTCAGAACGTAAGAAAGGAAGCAAAGTCTGGGAGGGTATTCGACACATCTGGCTCATTTAGTTAACTCTGGCTGTTGGACTACTGGACCCTCGTAGTACCACCCAATAATCCAACAAATACAAAATTCTGATGAATATCAGTCCTCAAAGATTGAAAGTGCACCCAGAGAACCATCACTGTGACATCAATTATAACATTCCAAAAGTGTTATTAGTTAACGCAAGTCTAAAATGTGCAGTAGGAAAGATAGATTTGCAACTCTTTCTCCCAATTTTAGCATCCCATTACACCAAATCAGCCATTCTGCCAATAGCAAAACAGGTAAATGGAGAAAGGAGACCATTTGAACCATTGAACTGATTGTTAAAATTTTAAAGCAGTGTTCTCCAGTCCTGAATCAAATGCCCTTGCCAGAATTTTCCGGGAATCTGCACTTCTGCTCCCTGCAGAGGCCTGTACTGGGTTCTCTTGCAAAATAAGGAGAAACATTCCACCCCACCCCTGCTGGGGTGGAATGATAACACAAAGATTATACATAGGACAGTTCAAGAAATCATCATATGTTCATCATACACTTAAACACAGGTGTATCAAATGATAACATCTTTGCAGCGTTGCTAACGTTGTAGCCGAAACGAAGACAGACACAAAGCTAAAAATAAATACAGATTTGAATCAAAAGCACACGCACAAGGGGGCTCTGGGACTCTGAACTTGTCAATCTGCCAGCACGTGTCACGAGGTCAGTGAAGGGTGCGTGAAAACAAACACGCAGACAAGCATGACAGTGAAGGAATTTCGAGAAATAGCATTAATGTCCCAGACAAATCTGACAAATAATGTCTGCGTCACTCAGCAAGACACAGAAGGAAAGGAATAGCAGCCTTGATATACTGCAAATGACAATGCTGAACAAAAAAAACAGTCATACAGTAAAGCAATAAAAAATGACGCCACCAAACCAGCAGACTCATTGAGCAGCCTGTAGCCTCAACCGGCATGGAGCGACCTGAAATCAGGCTTTTTAAACATTTCCTGCAATTAAAATCTGTATATCCGGAACCTGCACCTGCCCCTTCAAACACACACATACACACACACAGCCTTACCTGTACTTCACTGGTCTTCTGTTTGATGCTCTCCTCCTTCTCCTTGATCTCCTGTTCCACAGTGGTTTTCTCCCTGGAAGACCAGCACAGGAGGCAGGAGTATTTAATAACATCCGAGACAGAGGGCACCATAGGCAGCCAGCCTCCTGCTCCTGATGGCTCGCTCTTTACAATCATTGCCTGTCTGCTGTGAAAAGGGGCTCTTGGCAGCAGGAACCCGAGTTAGGGGGGTTCAGGGTCTGGACTACACAGGAGAGAGTGCGCGTGTGCAGAGCACTGAGAGACAGAGAGAAGTCACAGACAGGGGGGGGGGGGGGGGTTGGGAAAGACGAGAGGAAACCCTCCCTCCTTCTCTCTGCCCCTCGCTCCTCCCTTCCCGTCTCCTTCAGTCTGTTCCACCTCCTCCCAGCCACAGAAACGGCTCAGAGGCGCTGAGTGGAGCAGGCAGGGGTGACACAGCTGTTCCTCAGCATCTCCCTACTCCCCCACCTGCCTCCCAGACACTGTCGCTATGGAGTCAGGGGCTAATCGAGTCTGGAGAGCTAGAACGAAGCACAAGGAAGCCAGGACTGCAGCGTGAGGGAAACGGGTTTGCTTAACCCTTCACACGCCGCAGCAAACACATCTTTACTTGACATTTCTGCGATATTCAGAAAACCCACTCAAGAAAAAAAAATGATTCAAAATCATATATCACAATCCTGGGATACAATTTGTAAAAAGTTATAGTATTATACTTGGCTTCTATATAAGAAAAGAAGGATGTACATCAGTAAGAAGTAGGTTTTCCAGATTTGATGTCAAACTAGCATAAAATGTACAGCACCCTGCAGGCCTGCCTGTAAATGTACATAAAAAAACATTTTCCAATCGCAAAACACAGTAACCCCATGTACCTTAATATAAACTGAACCCTAACAAACCTAAAAGTGTGAATAAATGAAAATATCAGACAGGAATGCACACATGTATGTAAAGTTCTCCACTACAGATGAGACCTACTCTGCCCGTGAACCACCATTGTTTAAAGCAGCTAACAGTCTCCTTAGCATAAATGCAGGCTGATGGAAAAAAAGCATATTGTAAAATACAATTTACTGCTAGAAGTGTGATCAGTTGACATATGGCACATTTTATGGCATATTATATATCAATATTTCTGCAACATTGAAAGTAACCTCTGATGGGGGCTTTGGAAAAGACAATAGCAATCATCAAATACACATATCTCTGCAATTTGCAGAGCAAAATGCTTAAAAGATGTGGAAGAACTGGAGAGCTCCATAGTTTTTAGCGTTTGTCTATGGTAGTTGCTCTGTGTGCATGTTGGGGATTTTTTAATATAGAAGGAGTCTACACAGGTAGCTGAAGGACAAAATCCATACTTTTATATAATTGAGCTTCACAAACTGTTGTTGAGATACAGCTCTGAATACAATGATACACCAAATGTGACTGATCGCGTGAGTAAGGTCAAAGAGCACAGACGTGCATGTCCAAATTGTTCAACAATAAGAGACTGTATTGCCCAGTAACACAAAGAAAGCTACCATGCTGCAGAGTGAGCACACAGATCTCTTCAGATTTGCCGAACACCCATCCCAGAATTGATACGGCTTTTATTACTTTCAGGAAAGTTGCATGAAAAGTAATTAGCGCAGTTCTTAAAAGCTCTGAGGAGATCCGAGCCAGATACTACTGAACTGCAAGGCCAGTTTAAAACAAGAAAGGCAGCGGCAACTCCCTAGCCACATCTTAGAAGAATGAAGGACATTTATTTCCTAACATTACTCAATTAAACACTATCTGTGAAGCTTTCCAAACTGTGAATCCATAAATCCATTTTGGGAAACTGAAAAATAAGTTAATGACAGCAGTCTCAGGAGATGACATTAACACCACAATGAAACACCATCTGACACAGAGAGACAGTGCAGTGCAATTGAGGGCTTAATTGATAGCTCTGTTATTTAACTTAACAGCTCGAGTCCTTCCTATAAGATAAGGCTATGAGATGCATCTCCCTGGCACTACACTCTTTGAAACAAAGTAGCAATAAGATCACTGGTATATTCAAAGATGTTTACATTGATGCCAATTTTATTGCAGTAACAGTTTATTGCTGCTCATGTGTACGCTGGCTACTCTCTGCCTTGGGCACACATAATCGATTTCTAAGAGCATTTCAGAAGTTTACCTAATCAGAAATGTTTCCATAAATGTTCAGCCAGAAAATGGCAGATCTGCAAAGAAAGTGTTAAAATCCAGTCTCCTCCTAACAGTACCGTACCTATGCTATCTGATATAATGGCGCGAGGCTAGAGAACATTTAAATACACTTGAATAATGCGCAAGTTGACAAGTTAAGAAGATGATAAATGTGAACTTAATAACATTTTAAGAACTTCTTAACATGGCACACAGCGCATGGGGAGGAAATTGCCATAACACTGCCATATATTTTAGCATATGTTTAACAGTTGGCTGTCAGGGCAAGGATAGTGACAGAGTTAAATTATGGGGTAAACAGTTTATACTTGCCATTAAAATCACATTACACCAGGGACACACCATATTCTAACATGCAGGACAGGAAGACTGAAACTCAGAATGTCTTTATCTAAGAAAATAATTTATCTTGTCTGTATCCAAGACAAAATTATGGCAGATAATCAAATGGACATCGGTGATGTTCATTGATTGTTGAGAAGACTTTATCAAGCAAGAACAACGTGAGGGGTGTGAGAAAGGAAAGAGTGGAATCTACTTGCAAATACTGTATATCAAAATGTAAAAATCATTTCCATTTCTCACTGAAACCCACTTCTCTCCACTTAAGGCTGGAGCCAAAGAAAACAAACTTTGCTTCTCTTGAAAGAGCCAGAAAGCACAGAAATGTGACTGAACTAGCCTAGCACACAAACATCAGCTCCTTTCAGGTTTTGAAGATTTTGCACATTAAAAATGGATTCACAATATAAGTGAGGTATTTCCCACATTTATTAGACCATAAAAGCAGCACAGTGGCAGAGTTAGTACTGCTTTCTCACAGCACTGAGGTCTGGGTTCAATTCTGGGGTGCTACAGTATCTGTCCAAAGACAAACTGGTAGGTTAACTGGCCCTGGTGTGAGTGTGTGCACGTCTATGTTTATACTGTGATGGACTGGTGTCCAGTTCTGGAAAAAGCAGTTAAGAAAAGGTTGGATAGATTAAGCTGTACATGCATCAGGACTGCAGCAGTATCTGGTACTCAAACAGTAATGAATGCCAGAAAATCCTTCATGAAATTAAGTTTAACTCTTCTTTCTTTGAACCCCTAAATAATCAGTTCTGCTCACACCACAAGCATACATCACATATCACATTAGGTTTACTGGTTCAGGCATCACAATGCAAACCAATTTCAAATGTAAAAGTCAAATACTGTACATAATACAACTTCACAAAACTGCTTCCTACTTCTGTGAGACACTAAAAAAGACTTGTTTTTACACCATGCTTTCATTAACCTTAGGCTGTGGAGGATTTATAGTTCAAGGACTTAACCGTATTACCAAATAGCACATAAAGCAAGAGTTTTGCCATATAAAAGAGAAACATCTATCCATCCTTCCATTTTCTAACCACTTCTTCCAAATCAGGATCACGGTGAAGCCTGGCAAGAAACGGGCGCAAGGAGGGATACACCTTAGACAGGACACCAGTCGATCACAGAGCAACGGTGAAACAGCCCAACAAAAATGCAATTGAACAGACAATATATGCAATGATACAAAGACTCATTTCATAACAGATGAAATTTAAAAGGTAAGCTGCAGGATCTTGAGGATGTCCATAACATCAATTCAATTTTTTCTTTTTTACTTTATGTGTGCTTCCTTATTTAAATAAATCTGTACAAGGATCTGGAGGTACAGTATTAACTGAAAGAAGTGGAGAGAAGGTTGGGGAAAGTCTCCGAGATTCAGCTACATTTTTTATGCAGAAACCACAGACACTTACATTGTCTACTTTGTAGAAATTTGCCTCCTTCTGAGGAGGTCCTCACAACAAATATTTCTCAGGACGTACAGTACTCTCTTGGTGAGGGTCCTCTCTCAGATTTTGACCTGGCAAAGATGGTAACACCTCTGCTGGGACATACTGTACACACACCAGAGTAAAATACAAAATGAAAGAGTACTGCTCTTCTGCCACAGGTTGTATTCTCTCACTTTCACCTCGAATATACCACTGCTTAAACTATACCTACTTCCCTCATTGATCACCAATGCCAAGGTCAAAACAGGTTCTCTGGCAAACCTGTACATTTCATGTTTCTTCTTTAGAATGATTCTCTAGTCTTGCCAAATTATCAAGGAAATTGATGCCCTTGTGTCTAATCTCTCTTTGAGGCTTTGAGCCTTTCCTGGATGCCAACTTTGCACTGAAAACATTACACATGGCGAGAACTACAGTGCTGTGTCTTGTATAACCAAGTATTGTACTGTTCTATTTGCTGTGGCAGTCTCGCAAGCTTCACAGTAGGAGAGTAAGGGGATGTGCAGCAGGTGTATTATCTCTAAAGTAACTCAAGAGCTTTATAGCAAACCAGCAAAGGAGAACTGCAGTGTAGATTCCACTAAAGAGGAACTGCAGCAATATTTTTATATTTCAGGGTTAAAAAGAATCAGCTGTGATGAGCGCATTTCAAACCACAATAAAGGTAAAACGTACACAGTAATGTGCAAAAGCTCCAATTTACTTTACAAAATAGATAGAATTTCCAGGGACAGTATGCGAAATGCTATGTTCCGCGATTCAGTCATTATAGTGACTAGTGAGTCACATCAACTTACAATTCATGCAAACTCTCACTCTTGCCTGTGGCGAGACCAGGTTTGCAACAACATGGTAACTATTCAATACTTTCACAAATGTCATGATTTTGTGCTTATCTCGATATTTGTAAAAGTCTTCTATAACATCAAAGAATTTATTTTACCACGATTTAATAACTGGTCTAAGAAACTGTGACAGCAGTCCCCCTTTTAATCTGACTTCTAGGCAGGTCACTGCTACTCTACTAGTTGTATGAAAAACAGATCATTAACTAGCTATGATGCATCTCCCTAAAAAGTCCAGTTTGGCCTGAATTAAACTGCAGAAAGTGTGATCCTGTGAAAGCTAGCAAGTGAATCAGGTCATCCCTTAAAGCAAGTGTTGATCAATGCATCAAAGCATCTCACCCAGAATACACCCTGAAGTGTAATGTTTACCAAACCTTCAGAGAGGACAAAACATCTGTTCCTATGAAGACCACATCAATTGTGACATATCCATCTAGCACATCTTTTGCACCGTTTAGATCTTGAGATCTTTAACATTTCAGAATCACAAAAATAATCAGTTTTAACACCCTTCCCCTCATTAGAAAGATATAATTTAACAACAGATGTTTTTCTTTCTAAAAATAAGGGACATCTATAGAAGACACAGAACACACCTTTAGCTGGCATTTGATATGTAGGTAAAACATGGCTGCTGTACTTCACACTTAAAAAAAAACAGTTCAGTGCTTGGATTTTCCAGTGTCTTAAGAGTTCTAAGAAAATATCTGTAGCTAAAATCATGTGTACAAATAGCACCTCCATCCATCTTCTCTTCCAGCGCCACTACTTTTCTGAGAATTCTAAAAGTGCTGAGACTTGACAAGGATGGAGTGACTCCTCTCGAGAAAACATTGAGATCACAGAACATTGCACCTCTTTTCATCTGCAAAAAAAACTACAGAAATGACAGCTGCTTCAGAGGTTTCACAGTTAAGAGGGGAAAAAAAAGCAGAGGTGAGAAGGAAAGAGAATCAAGGTGAGAAATAAGATAGACAAAAATATTCAGACAACTCTCACACTCTGGTTGAAGGTCCTTCATGAACCAGGCTCCCCTTAACCCATTGGACTGAATCGACTGATAAAAAAAAACTGCATAAGACCAGACATCTCCAATTAAAATATATGATGCATGTCCCTGATTTAGAAAGCATGGTTCGTGCCAACGTGCAAATTCACTTCCTTCACCTTGCAGCTGGGTCTAAGTGATCAGATAGAAGCAGGGGAGCACTTACCTTTCACTGGAGGGAGCCCGTTGCCGTGGAGATTTTAAGCAGTCCCTCACCACACGCATCATCTTTGCGGCACACAGTCCCCCATCCTAACTCGGCATTCCACCCTCTCTCCCTTTACTCTCCCTGTCTCTATTTCTGAGCTCCACAGTCAGGACACTCAACACCGAAAACCCACTTCCCCCTCAGCACAACAAAAAAAAAGGAGAAATAACTGAACTTCCCCTCCTCACACTTCAAGGATCCACTGTTCTGCTCAGAAGGCAGGTTTCGACTCAAGGTGGAGGAGCCCAGTAAGAAGAAGGTAATGCCAAAGAGAGTCTCCCTCAGAGAAGTGGAAAAAAAAAACCTTAACTGCCTGTAAATGAGCTCTCCCCTTCTACTACCCTCCCAACCTCCTCCCTCCCTCCTCTAGCCTTGAGGCAGCAGCATCTATCACGTGGAGAAAGCCAACCTCTGGAGAGACGCTTTGCTCGCTCTCTGCCTTTTTTTTTTCCTCTCCGATTGAGGAAGAAAAAAAAGCAGCTTCTAGTTCTGACCGGGCTGCTGGTCCCCGAGAGTCCGGAAGTCCGTTTGCCCCGGTTCCTCCTCTCTCTGCTCTGAGGGACTCCTTGACACGCGTTACTGCACAGCCCATTCCTCGCCGAGGCGAGAGTGCTGAAACACATCACGTCAGGTTTTTATACCCTGCTTGCAAGGCTTATTCCATGCAAGGCATTTGAAGTGCCGGGTCTTCCCTCTGGATTACCGACCACACATCCTCTACTAAGCTAGTTTGTGTGCTGGCTACATTTGATTGGACTTGCTAGCAATTTAAACCTGAGTTTTCCAATGTGTTACTTTTACAACAAAATATTATGTATTTTTCTCTGTTTCACACACTCCATCTTGCTTTGATAAGAATTCAATATTTTGGCTTACCAGACTTTTTATTAGCTGTCAAATTTGCAATTACAGCAAATCAAATCACTTTTCCAGATACTTACTTCCTAAGAACTAGAAAGCAAAATATTTCTCACCTAGAGATTGTAAACTACAAAGAACAGAACAGAAAGCCCTTGGGGTGCGTGTTCAAAATACAGTAATAAAGCAAATCGGAGAACAAGACAGGCAATTAACAAAAATGAACTGGTAGACCACGCAGGTAATGAATACAGGGGTTTGAAATCCTTTTTCTTCATTAGTTATAAACCTCAAAACTATCACACAGTGTAAAAAAAAAACAAAAACATTAAGACTGGGTATGAGAAATGTGAAAAGGATCACATTACTAATATGTTCCTACGCGAGCTTCTGAGGACACACATTTGTGTACAGTATCTCTAACAATGTGCTACAGTGCACCTGTGTCCTGTAGTTGCTGACAACACACCTCCTCCATCACCACATACACTTACTACACTGAGAGCAAGAGTCTCTGGAGTGCCCCCCTCCAAATCTCATCACCATGGCGAGAAGGCCGAGTATAAATAGCAAGCATACAACGTCCGACACACAGAGGTCAGATGAAGGAGTTTTCGAAACTGTATACGACCGACAGAAACTAGCCCTTTCTTCCTCCAGAACAGGGGTGTGTCACTGCTCACTGGAACAAAAAGCAGCAGCCGATTTGTTTTTCTTTCACCAGGAAAGGCAATCTGCAGCTACACTAAATTGCCCCTAACTCTTATTAGCAGAGACAGCGGCATGCCCTTTGTTGATTTTGGTTGCTTGCAAACAAAAGGTAGAATCATCTTAAATTTTATTCAAATATGATTTTTTGGGCATCTGGGAACGGTAAAAATACTAAAAGAACATTTTTGTCTGTCGCAAAAAAGCAGCTCCACAAAGACACCAAAGTGTCTTTGAATAATAGATTTGGACATTTTAAACCATCTAGAGAATACATCCAATACACAACGTAAATGTGGGCAGCATAGACAGAAATTGAGAGACTAAAACATCAGTGTTAGACAGTGTGCATGCCACACTGGAAACAGGATGGGATGGAATAAGTTATCATTCATTCATACTAGAGACAAACAAGTATAAAAACTGGAATGAAAAAGGAGTTCTAGTTTGGTAATGCAGATACACTTACAAAAAAACAAAATGTCCTCCTAATTAAAGGCATTTTTAAATAACAATTTAGGGAAACACGGAAATAGCTGTCTTGCTAAGATTTACCAGCAGGGTTTTAAGAAATCTATAATCTAAGGACAGCAGAAACAAGCACTGTTATTTTCAACTGAGAATCATTTACCAGCAGGTGTCCTCAGTTTCTTAATTATTACATAAAGGACTATAAATTCAGCTTCAGGGAGAATTCAGCTACCCAGAAGCAGACAACCACCTGTGGAAAACTGTTAATGTTTATCAGCTGTTACAGTAGGAACAATTTTTCTATTTGCATTATAGCAAATGGAAGCTTTTGCTAAATAAATTTAGAAACTTGGCAAAACCATAAGAGAGGCCTGTGATGTTTTTAAGAGCAATGTGGAACAGTCATACCCTAATTCCCTTGCTCCCCCCAAAAAGTTCCTGGCTCACTCACCTCTGGAGGTCGATGATCTCATTGCTCAAAGAGTCCAGCTCTTTGATGGCAGAGAAGTCAGCTGCCAGGCTACTCAATGTGCCCTGCAGAAAGAGTGGAAAGGTAGCCTCAGTATGAGCATCACAGCAAAAGACACAATCAGACCATTTCAATCATCATAAGAGATCTTCACACATTTCCAAATCATTCAAGAGACCCACACTCTGTTTGCGATCCACTGGGCAGCAAGATATTGCATGGAAACACCTACAGACTTCGTTTTAAAAAAATCAGAAATGTGCTTATTCAAAGTGGCATATGAACTTGGTATCAGAGCGAGGCGTACTGTGAAGATTCTGGTAACATTTGGCAAGCAAATGTCAAGTAGACAGTATACCACAGCAGCAAGTGGTCCTCAAAAGCGATACATCATCTTGCATGATATGGAGCCTTATTGTAGAAAAACTGCCTGCATACACTGCTTGTCCACTGCTTATTCAACAGACTCCAAACGACTTGAAGTCTGACTACTTGACAAAAAGTGAAATTCACAGTAATGCTTACTCAAAGCAATTCAGACCACTGAATAACACAGCACTGTTGCTTTTTGATGACACTTAATACTGTTCACACTGATGCCCAAAGACATGCGGAAAAATGATCCTTATTAGCAAGTTATCATCAAGTCTTTGATAGAGACTGTATAAATGGGTGACATCCATCTATCCAGACTTCAGTGGTTTCAGCCATCAGTAGTCCATACTTTGCTGCTGTGGGTAATTATGCCTGACCTCACTGCGCTTGCCTGGACGACAGCTTTCTTTGCAGGTGAAAGTGCAATATTAGTCTGCCAGATCACTTGAACGCAACAATGCTACGTATGCTCCAGAATCTTCTGGAAGATGCACGATTTCGTGGCAAAACCTCCGATAGCCAGTCTGAAGCTCATCACCACCCTCAAGGAAGAGTGCAGGAGTATCCAGCAAAAAGCAGCCTCCATGGGTGAAGTCTGTACCTCATTCTGCATTCTTGTGCTTCAGCTTACAGAGAAGACGCACACCATGCACCAGGTCGAGGTGCTGAAAGATTACTACTAAAAAAGCCCATTACTGTTATAAGGAGATGAAGTGCTAAAACTATGTTGCAGTCACTGACCTTGAAACTGGCTGGGTCATCTGCTAGCATAACCATGCACATGGTAAGATTTTGAACGGTGTACAATTTAATTAACAAAAAACACCTGAAGGAGTCTGGTACACACATTTTCCCCAATTGTTTTTAAATCTTTTAAATCCCCTTACAAAGTGATCATACAAACCAAAATTTAAATTTTAAGTGTAATGCATTTTTCTGGAAATGGTAAAGTGAGACACTTTAACTATACCCCCCATTATACAAACTATGTGGTATTTCTGTAGATTGAAAACCAGTTTCTTCATCTGACTTCTTGAGACAATCTGAAGACCAGAAATAAAAGATGACTCCACACACCTTTTTTTGATTTGGCTTCAGCTTTTAACAACATTGGGATATTTCCAGAGAACAGAAAGCACTCTGATTGTATGAAGCTTACATAAGTGAAGGGTTCTGTTCCTGCAGTGCCCCATTCCTCTAGGTAGAGCTAGCTGGCCCTGGGATGGCAGAGTAGAGCTCTGCTGGTTTACCTGCTGCAAAAGTCTGTCCGATGGAGGAAGCATTTCAGGAGTCAAGGCCTGGGGAGGGTCGATCCCCTTGGCAAGTTTCTGGTTGATCAGGTACAACGCCAGAGCGAACTGCTCTTTGTTCAGCTTCCCCGCATCACTGGTGTCACACAGCTCCCTGGACAGAATATAAAAACACCGACTTGAGTTCCTCCTTTCTGCCACTCTTCATAGTATATGCAAATTCAGTCGTGTAAAATGCCTTATGACACTAATTCCTTTTCACAGCAGAAACACTAAAAGTGTACGACTATTGCCTCCCCATAAGTCAAATTTATTTATTACTAAATTGCTTAAAGCTCATCTCAGAAAGAGATTACCATTCTTCCAACAGATCCTCCAACAGATCCTCTTCAGGAGTCTGTCGTGGTTACTGCAGACACAGTCTCAGTCCTCGTGTTTCTAGACTATAGGATCAAACTGAAATTTTCCAGTGTTCTCCTTCCACTGTAGATACTCTGCTCAGATCCAAAACAGTGCTGGTGAAAAGGCAGGAATATGCAATACCCACTGGCTCCATGAATACAGGCCTGTGGTCAGTTGGGCCCTTAAGTCCAGAGATCACCTGGCAATATATGGGCTTTCTCATTAACCAACCTCAACCGGGACTCCCGTAGCCCTGCCATGGCTGAAGAGGACTGAAGTATCCTGCCAGGGAGCACAAGGCCCAAGGCATGTAGTGTGTCTGCAGAGTTATCAAGAGTAGCAAATATCCTCTATCCTCTAACACTTTTGATGAGTTGCTTGCAAGCTGATAATGGCTCAGAGTTCCTGAGTACTTATATTAATAGTCCAAACCCTCCCAATGCATAAGAATTTATGCATTAACTCCCTTTTAAAATTAAAGGACAACAAGGGGGTATCAAGAAGAAACATCCCTCAGATTAAAGATAAGAGATTAGAAACAGGTCTCACCAAATTTTTGCAAGGGTGGCAGAGGGCAGACCAGTCTTCAGAAAGATATCGCGCACCTCAGGGCCAGAAACCAGCCCATCCTTGTCCTTGTCAGTCTTCATAAATGTGTCATCATACTTGGCTTTATCTGCTGGTGACACAACCCACTGCCAAGGAACAGAAATGGAACAGCGTCTTAACTCAGTGGACCTCAGTGGAAATGGAGTGGAAACAAGACTATATAATTAACAAGAGTTGCTAAAATAATTTTTCAACAGATGATTAAGTAGTTTACATGATGAACTGGAAAGAATTCAGGTTTGGATGATTTGGATGCATCTCAGCTGCCATGTTATTTCACCCGTGTATCAAGTAAATATTAACAACTAAGATTTTAGTTTAAGTCATTGGAACATTGTAAAATAAAACTTGAAACACTTGAGTTCACGCAATAGAACCCATTCCTCGTTTCTTCACAGGTAGTCCTGATCCTTTGCTGAAATGTTTTGCAGCCATTCTTTAAGTACTAATTGATGGGCAAGCGCTGCTCTCTCCAGTACGCAGCAGCAATGAGACAGGAAAGACAGGACAATGCCTAAGCACAAAGCTGGAGGGCACCTGTACAGTGGGGGCCTTAGGGGGCAGAGTCTTGGGCCCTGTCATGGAGTGGCGACTGTCTTTGACGGAGGGAGGCGAGGGCAGCAGGGGCACCACAGGAGGCACAGCTGGTTTCTTTCTTTTGGACGGCGGCACCAAGGGGGCAGGAAGGGACATTGGCACAGGTTCCTTCTCCAGCGCTCGATACACCAGGTACATGGCCTGTCAAGGCACAAACCAGTGCTAGAGTTAAGTGTCCCAGGGTAAGTTTTATACAACATCCATAGCCACATGTGGAAACAGTAATAACAAAGCAACCAAACGGTCTCGTTTGTAACCTCTCTCATAGTCAAAGCAGTCTCCAGATTCTCAAACCTGACTTGGTCCAACACTCTCCACAGTTATCCAGTGATATGATTTTTTAAAAACCTGATCCACCTCTTATGTATTATCAACAAGACAAAGGGAATACTTCACAATTTCGGGTAATCTGTATCAAATTTCATCAATGCAAAAAATTCAACTGATGAAATTAACGAGTGTCTTTTCTTGAGGACTGACACTTTGATTCTTACTAATTGTTATTGAAAATAATTAGGGTTTCCTATTTAGACAATGCTGTAGCTCAAGTATCAGATATTAATTAATTACACACCTACAAACAAGTCTGCATTACCCAATGTGCTCAGTGAAGTAGTGATTTTATGTAAAGGATCGGCACTTGTAACTGGAAGGATGCAGGTTCAAATCCCAGGTGGGGCACTGTTAAGCAAGATACTTCAGTAAAATATTTTAACTATGAACAGATAAAAATGTAAGCTGCTTTGGATGAAAACATCAGCCACATTGTAATAGCATTCCCGTCTCCGGTCAAAACCCAGCTTCCTTCATAAGTACAGAACTATTATGGGGGTTTAAAGACTTTATGCAAGCAAAAAAACCCTGCCACACTATAAATTTCTCTTGAAGAATTACTGCAGTAATTACTACAGACTGCTATTAAATGCTACCAACAATTTTTCATAGAGCATGTCTATTGTCTGCACGTACCACAAAGAGCTTTTAAAATCAGATTGTCTTACCTCTGCTCAGACAAACACTATTCCTGTCTCCTGCTGTGACATCGGTGCCTGATTTTGTTTGCCTATATTTACTTAGGTCTCTGACAACAGAGATGACAATCAAGAATCAAACACTTAAATCAAAGTGACCACACTACTTCCAACATGGACAAGGACTGTTGCCATTTATGAATTAATAAAAAGAGCCATATTTTTTAAGGGCTCCTATTTGGTTGATGTGGGAACATATTAAGATAAGCCCTGTTCAATGTCACAAATCAAAGTGTCAATACTCTTCACAAAGAGTCCGTAAATATAAACAAAAGTTAGCAAGTGCATTTATCCCAATAAACCCATTTATAGTGACAGGCATTTTACTAAAGCTGAGTGAAGAACCTTACTCTAAAATGTGCAATATCCCACAAAAATAAACTTGCTCAATTTCCAAGCTGTTCTATAGAACTAGCCCTTGACAAAAAATATTAGTGTTAACCCTGTTAGCCTCACCGGAGTGTGATTACAGCGGCAACTGCAACATCACTTAATCACCATTATAAACCAACTGACTCAAATCCTTCACTCAGAAGTGCTGTGCAGCAGCAAAGTCAAGTAAAAACTAAATGTGGCATTTCAACTTTGAAAGTTGTAAGCAAATATTAAATTTCACAACTTTTGGTCAGAAAGAGCAAAGCAGCACTGCAAATTAAAACAGCTGCATTTCCTCCACCTAGACCACAACCCCACATAAACACCTGTGTGAAGAATGGTTTAAAACCATCTAGCACTAAACCTTTGCTTGTTATGGGAGATTAAGTCAATGTATTTTACCAGATACATTAATTAACACTGAACACCTTTTTCCTCTGCAATACTGAAAACAAACACATGGGGCGTCTGGTTTTTGGTGTTCAAGTTTCCATCGCACAATGCCTCTTTAAAATTCTATGGGGAATTAGTTGAACCACAACACATGGTTAGCTTTTCTGATCTTCATCTTGATTGTACCACCGATCACTTCCTTATCTATATTTGAAACACAGATGACCAGTAATGTAGATCATTCATCCATGAACCTGAGTTGAGTCGCTTTCCTCCATTTATTGAAGAACATTTTTTTCCATCTTATGGAACTAGTCATTTCTACTACTTGCTGAACAAAAAAAATCTACTATTAAATACTGTATTATTTCAGCACGAAACAGCTATGTACATGACACTATTCAGCGATATCACTGATTTTTAGGAACTGTCTATAACCCAGCTGACTTAGATAGATAAGACTTTATTGATCCCGAAAGGAAATTGATGTGTTACAGCAGCCCAAGACAAGCAAAAAAAAACAGACATCAGGATAGATAAAAAATAGAATACCTACAGTAATAAAGAATAAATATAAAATAAAAATACATAGTTGTGTGCAAAATATGATCATAGTCACTGTAAAAACAATAAAATATGTGCAAAATGTGCATAGTTATATAATTCTCTTAATTGTGATGCAGAAAGCTTTAAAAAAGCATCATTATGGTTTACGTAAGGGCATGTAGTTGGAAAAAAAAACATAAAAGAAAAAAAGGATTGCATTGGTAACTTATTAACAGTCTCTTAATTTAAAAGCCAACTTTAATTTTAAAACCAGAAACTTTACATTTGAAAAACCTGATCTCAATGGAATCCAACTGGGAAAAGCATGTTCCTGCAGTATGTGCAGTAATGCTGGAGGACCAGTAGGTGGCACTTTAAGGTTCAGTCTGCAGTCCTGCAGTTTCCAAATCCCAAGCATGGAAATGAAGGGCACTGGACTGTAGGTGGCGCAGTTTTTCATGTAAATGTTAACCTGATGTCATATCTCACAATTAAACAGTAAAAGGACTGTTTGAAGATTGTACTCTGTCCCTGGAGTGGAAGGGAATGAGATGTGGACCAGCAGTCACTGGACACACTGCTGGATCCACAGTACCAGACAGGAGAGCTGGCACTGCTTGGAAGACTGGCTCACGTCTCAGCTATGCCACCACAGTGCCCGCGGGCCGGTGGCAAGTCAGGGAAGCCGCTGCTCACCAGAAAGCCAAAGGCTAATAATACCCGGCTCAATCCATGAAGAGCTCGACCACTTGGGAAAAGTCGGTCACAGTCAAGTTGTGAACTACAGACAATTAGATTTTTTGCACACTCTTCAGCGTGGCCAACTCCTGCCTCATTAGTCAGGAATTTTAGAATTTTGTGGTGCCTTTCCTTTGGACGGATAAAGAGAAAACGTACATTTACAGTATACACAGCCACTGCTTCTCATCTGCGGCTCTGCATACTCGAGTTGTTAGGATGAGTCTAGCACGAGAGTCCCTCCTGAAGCTTCTAGAATATCCTCTGAGGCCCAAAGCTTCTCAGACTACCGCCGAGGCCCAGTCCAAAATGTGCTCCTTGATTTTCCTCCACGTTACACAACATAATATCACACCTGCTTCATCACATCTTCTTGAAAATGCATGCTTTATGTTTACTTTCATGATATTGCTTTTATTTCCAAGTTTCCTGGAAAACTGTGCAGTACTTTATTTTCTGTTATGCTCTTTTGTTATTTGGCAAATTTATGTTGATTTTTATGGTGTGGTAGACTAACTCTTGCTAGATGTTGTGGGAGAGCTTTTGCCCCTTTTGTACCTTTTCATTATCCACCAACACGTTATATATACACTGCTTTGTGTAACTCCATAAGAAAAAAAGAGAAAGTCTCCTTTTCAAAGAAACTGTAATTTCCTTACCACTGCAAATTCATCCCGGTCCAACATCCCATCTCTGTCAATGTCGCTGAGCTCCCACACCTGAAACAGGACAGGAAAGGTGAATCAACATCTGTGACAAGTTTATCTCTGTGAAAGTGCACCATTCTTACATTTTCCACAGCAATGCTTTACCATTTTCTGCTCTTCCAGACTCTCTTGGCAATTTCACTGTGCTTTGCTACGTTTCACTATCCTACACTGCTGTATTTATCAGGGCCAGCCTGAAACCAATACTTGCCAGTCCCAGAGCCTGACACAGTACTAGTGTCCAATGAATAGGAAATAGTCCTCACAAGTTACAAACATAAGACTTGATCTGGCAGGTGTGTGGAATTTAATCCAGGTATAGGAAGCAGAATTTATACAACCTAAAAACCTGATCTCGATGGACCTGTGATGTGAAGCCACACTGGTAGTCACAACATCAAACCAATCAAAGAAAAGCATGTTCCTGCAGTATATACAGTAATGCTAGAGGACCAGTAGGTGGCTCTTTAGGTTTAATCTGCAGTCCTACAGTTTCCCAACCCAACCCCAAGCATGGAAATGAAGGGCACTGGAAGATAGTGTGATTTATCATCTCAATGTTAACCTGAGGTCACATCTCACAATAAAGTAGTAAAAGTACTGTGATACATTTCTTGCCAAAGTAGGGTGTTAATCACAAAACCATAACTAAAAAAATCAAAACGGGATTCCTGCTTCCTGCTCACTAGGATTTACTAGCTAAGGAAAGTTTGAACAGAATGAAATCACTTTATTAAATACTTAAATAAAAAGGTGAAATTTGACTTGTTGTCTTAGGGTTGTAACGAGAACCCGTGTACAGTGGCTATCAAATGTATTTACTCCTCTTGGACTTTCCATGTTTTATTGTGATACAAGATGAAAATTTATTTAAAAGGGATTTTTTTGCCATTGATTGACACACAACATTATATAATGTCAAAGTGAAAACAAAACTCGCCAGATCCTCCTCCTGATGAGACCAAAAATTGTGAAAAAGTTCAAGGGGGAAGAATACTTTTGCTAGCCACTATATGTGGAAAGATCTCTTATTCCAGGTCTGACTGGTTTAAAGCCACTCCATCTTCACGGGAGAGCACAGCCACCTCCAAATCCTACCCTTTATAAATCAGAAGAGTGTCTATCAATCCACAAACTTTAGTACTGCATAAAAACTTTCCTAATCATAAAATTTTGAAATTTTGCTCTAAATAACCATATGAATTAGAGCAAACCAAGAGCAGACAAACATTTTAGAACCTCATAATATGGAAAATTTCTTGCCCTTGAAATGTATGTTTAGATGGTTTAAAACTAATTTAGATTTCAGAAAACTCAACAAACTGCTTGAAATGCAGGGCAAGACTGGAGAATCAGTTTGTACACACAGTCTATTAGAGTTCTGTTCAGTGCACATGCCATTCTAATGAACTGAAGGCAGCCTGAAACCTGTATTAGACATTTA